GTAACACGTGGAAAAAATTTGGTGCTTTTGTCCGGAACGTCCACATTATTCCCAAATCTGGGTCTAAGCTGCCTGACTAGTAAACATGTGCCCCATTGCACCCAACGCCAGTAACAATGACTATGTTGTACACGATACTACAGTGACAGTATTGCGAGCTACACACTCACCTGTAGGAACGCCTGCTTGCCCATGTGCTGGCGGTGGCGGCTCAGCGACACCTCCATGCGTTTACGCTGCACCTCCATCTGTTTGCGTTTCTCCTCCAGCCGCATGCGAAGATTCGTTAGCTCTGCGCTCAGAGGTCTCGCACGACTCGCTAGATCCCCTCCTCCTCCGCCGCCGCAACTGCCGTCATCGTCGTCGCGGCGACGCTGCGCGCTCGCCGCCGCCCACGTCGTCTGGTTTGGCAGTGCGGCGAACGTCGCCCGCTTCCGCGTCGTCGACGGCGACGCTTCCTTCTCGCCGGCAGGGGGAGCCGCCGCTGCCGCCGGGCGCCGCACGTCGTCGCCTCCGTTCGCAACCTCGCCGTTGTTGCTGCCACCGCCGCCGCGTATCTTGGAAAGCTCTGCGAAGCTCGTCTGCATGCTGCTGCTGCTGCTGCTGCAATCGCCGGCATTCGGTGGGTGAAGCGCGAAGCCCTGCTGAGGGGATGCCGTAGAGGATGCTGCGGAGGATGCTGCTGCTGCCGGTGCGGAGGCTGAGGAAGAGCCGAACAGGCGGTCGTCGAACACGGGGATGCCGGCGGCGCGCGCCTCCGCCGCCGACCGTGGCGCCGCCGCGCCGTGAAGCGTGAAGCTCTGACCAACAAGAGACAGACCGCGTGCCGGCCCGCGCTCCTCATCCTCCCCGTCGTCGTGGCAACCGGCTGCCGACAACCCGTTCTGCTGCTGCCGGATCCGCGGCAGGTGCACCCCACCGTCCGCCTCCCGGCCGTCCTTGGTCCTGCGCGGACGCGGGGGCGGCACCGGCTCGTCGCCGTGGCAACCGGACGCGATGGACGACACGCTCTCTAGTTCCATCTCCTCACCGAGCGACCTCACGCGAACTCCCGACTGTTCGGACTCAGCGAGCCCTCGCTTCTGCTGCGCGCCGACGCCGCGGCCACCTGCACTCGGGCGGATTGCTTGGCGTGACGAGGGTGAGCGACCGACGCTTGCGCGCGGGCAACGGCCAGTCTAGCCGCGACTGCGGCGGGTTCGGCGGTGCGGGGCGCCAGCGGCGCGGGCGTTCACGCACGCATCGCCGCAGACGCAGCCGTCGCGTCGAATTATCCCGGCGACCATTGCTGAGCGCGTGCCGCCGCAGGCCGCGCGCCGCGCGTAAAACCACATCCTCCCCGCCAGCCAGGGGGCCGACCGGCGGGCAGCCAGCCGCCGCGCAGAACCGCCTTCGCGAATGCTCCACGTTGCGCAGCGAGCGGGCGATGCTCGTCGTCGTCCGGTCTGACGACGTCGTCGGGGGAGGACGTCGATCGGGACAGTAGACGGGAAGCGGAGAGCGGCGAGGCAGGCGACCTGTCAGCAAGGTTAGCCTAGATACACAATGAGACATGAAGCAGCGTCGGAGCGCATCCCGAGCGCGTCGTGGACCGCTTGTCTGTCGCCCGCGCGCGGTCGTGTCGATGTGCGCGCCGACGCGCGCTGCCCGAGGCGGCTGGCCGATCTGTCGTCGCCGCCGCCTCGGGCGCGTCCCGCAGGCCGCGAGTCGTGCACTCTCAGATACCCGGTCCGCCGCGTCTCTGGCAATACCGGGCTCGCCCGCCGCCAACGCCGTGCGCTCGGGTCACGCTGAGAGAGCCCTGAGCCCACGCCGTGGCAGTGGTCGAGCGAGGGCACGCGCTCGCTCGCGACCGGCTCCTCGGCGTCTCGGCGGGGCCTGGGCTCAGGCGAGCCGCGGATGGGCGGCGCGACATCCACAGATGCGTGGTGAGTCGAGTCGCCGCGTCGAGCCGTGATCTCTCCGGCCCTCCAGCGCGCTCGGTAGCCGTCGGTGCCGACGTGGGGGTGGACCCGTCTCGTCCTCGTCCCATTCCTGCGTCGGATGAGGCGTCTCCGTACGGGAATGGGAAATGGTCGATTGCTCCCGCCGGACACACATACGGAATGTGTCAGGGCGAGGCCGGCCGTGCGCATAACGCCTCGCACCAATAGTGGGGCGGGCACTATGAGCGGTACCTCCAGTACCGCACCGCGCCACACTCGAACCAGTCAACAAATAATTGTTATGCGGCCGGGATGAGTATGATAGTGCACCTGAAGCCTTAGTTCGCCGGGCGCCTGGCGCCTATATTTACGTGGATTCCAAAAGGGGGAGGACATTTCCGTGGGGTCGGCTTACGCGCCGCGCCACCAGGGCATCGCCGTTCATCCTCGCTGGCGACACCGCCCGGCTCAGTGGGAGCGACGGCGACGCGCGAGTGGCGCACGTCTGCACAAAGCTGAGGCCTCCGTCACCGGCCCTCCTCCGCGCCGCCGTTGTCCCGTCGGCCAACACACACGCGCTCGCCGCCGCCCCCGACAGGACTGCAGCAGAAAGGAGAAGGCGCTGGTTCTCAAACTCCGGGTCGCCGAACAGGCGGCTGGCGTCGCCGCGCGCGTACGCGTCTCCCGTCGCCAGCGCGTTTACGAACGGCCGGCCGTAGGTGGCGCTGCCGCCGTCGTGCTGCGTAGTGCGGCGTCGCCGCCCAGCTCCCCGGGAATCTTCCTTCGTCGTAAGTCCTTTCCCCAGCAAGCCACAGGATCGCGGCTCGCTCCTTCGCCCGCGCCTACGTTCGTAGTCGTCCGCAGCTCGGAATTTCCCGCCGGCTGCCCGCAGGGGGGCGCGGCGCCGCCCGTACACGCGGCCACTCGACCGACAGTTCGTTTCGCCGTCAAGCTTGCATACGGACGGCGGGGTGCTAGGTCTGTATCGTCGTTCGTCCGCCGGCTCGAGGTTTTATAATTTTGCTGCTTTTATTGGCGACCAGCAGGCGACAACGCCGGCGGCCGATTGTCTCATCAGCAGTTGCCTGCCCCATACGTAACGTGCTAAATATTCCGGCTGGACCGAGTACAGAGTTCGAGTGCGTTTAAAAAGGTGCGTTATTATCTAGAGACCTACGCGTCTCAAAGGTGGCTTTCATTCGCCGTGCACGAAGGCTCAGTGGTCGCATACAGAAGGTGCGATGGGTCTGTCTTCTGATGACCAGGCCGACCCAGGGCGGTATCCGCTAACGAACGTCGTATTGGGCAAGCGCGAACTGGTGTTCAGGCCCGGAAGAGTCCGCCAAGGTGTAGCTCGTCGCCATTATGCTCCGTTTGCGACCTGGCAACTCTCTCTCGGGCGTGCATTATATAGTACACGCGGAGCTGCAACAGGCAAAACAGTGTGCACGCATTTGGCGTGGCCACATGCCCTGCGAAACAGTATATAATCTTCCTTAATACCTGCATTTGAATATCCCTATACTCTTTCTTTCACCGGCCATTTCTTAACGGTGACATTAGTATATTGCGGGGAATGCTCACCGTCGGCACGGTCTACGTATAACTCGTGTCGACGCCTGTAGCTT